TTTATTGAAAGTTTTCAGCGTCGTACCAGTTATGCAAATACATATATTTGGGTGTAGCATAGGCATCGGTATCGGGAAGGGGGTCTTAGCAAAACAAATGTTTTGCATAGATATATAAGCATTTGAAATTGGAGCTTACCTTTGATGGGGGTGTCCACTTTCAATTTTCTACCGACGGCTATGTACAATGTATAAATAAGAAACAAGAGGCCCATGGGTCACATCACTCACCTGAGCAATGTGGCTATGAAAAAGTAAAAATTGGTTTGTTATTGAAAAGTTTAAATCCAAAAGTAGTCCCATGACCAATCATGGATTTGCTATTCTTGAGATGATTTTTAAAGAATTTTCCTATATATTTCTATGTAAAATCTTGGTCGGCCATGGTGTTCCCGCCCTACCACCATGAGTCATGATTTGAAAAAAACTTGAATCTACACTACCTGAGGATGCTTCCATATGAATTTGATCAATTATGACTTTGCAATTCTTGAGAAGAAGATGTCAAACTTGAATCTACACTACCTGAGGATGTTTCCCCATAAGTTTCATTTTACCTGGCACAGTGGTTCTTGAGAAGATTCTTTAAAACATGCAACCATTTTTTTTATAAATTCCCAATTATCTCCCCTTGAATGAGGGCGCAGCCCTTCATTTGGAGAAACTTGAATCCCCTTTACCCAAGGATGCTTTGTGGCAAGTTTGGCTGAAATTGGTCCAGGGGTTCTTGAGAGGAAGTCAAAAATGTGAAAAGTTTACGGACAGACAGACAGATGGACAGCTAGACGGACAGCTAGACAGACGGACGCCGGACAAAATGTGACCAGAAAAGCTCACCAAACTTCGGCTCAGGTTGGCTAAAAATAGTTGGGCTGAGAGACCTTGTACTCGTCTTCTCCTTGTTCCCAATGAGGTTAAACGAGTACATGTAATTGAAACGTTTTCCGAAAGAAAAAATTAATACAAATTGTTGCTCTCAATTAAAAAGATCTCATTTGTGGAGCGGAGCGGATCAGAAACTCTTGACTTGGGAAGATGATAAAATCTTAGAAAAGAGCTTTTTTTTATATACTGAAAGGAAAAAGAAACGCAGGGTAAACTTTTGGGGTGAATTAAATTTATTTTTCTTAAAATATTTTTTAGTTTTCTTATCTAACTTTTAAAATCACCTTCCAGAAAGATATAACCAAAATCCCATTTGATTTTGTTTAATAATTCATGAGATATTGAATTCATATGACGATACCCCCCAAAAGTGAAAATCAAAAACTTGCATTATCTTTAATGTTTCTCCCGTGCATCTGTCAGGGCCTTATTTCTCCTTTGCTTGGAATTTCATTAGAGTGTTTATCTTTCAAACCCTGGCTATATTTGGCATGGGTAACCATGCAAAAAAATAAGTCAAACGGCGCGCACATGCGCCAGTGAGAGGAATACAACAGTAAGTTGACTGGCTCAAAACACCAAATTGCGGAATTGTTTTCTTTCAAATTTCGTGTGAATGTAATGATTATAATCGTCTACTGCATAAATGGCTGTTTTTGTGGTTGTAAGGTGGCGATTTTAGAGATGGCAGGACGAATAACCTGCTCGTAACATGGCTCTGTTTCGCGTAAACGTCATCGTCACGGTTGATTTAAAACCATTCCAGGCCCTCTCTGACAACGGGTAACAAGTTTTATTTGGGTAAATTTACAATAAACAGCTTAGTTAACCATTGTTGCCCTTTTCATTAATTAGGCAATTTGAAAACAAGACCCCACTGAACTTCCATAAACTGTGCCAAGACTGCAAGAAATTCATAATGTCTCTAAATATTGAAAAACGATGTGCATACCTCATGAGCATCAAATAATGCAACAAGATTTATTGACAAACTTGTTGTAATCAAATTGCACGTGGTTTGGGCTTTTTAGCGTTTTCCCTACGTGACGTCATAATTTTTACGAATGAGTAATTCTGAATACTGATTTTGGTGCATTGTAACTAAATTTCTCTTCTGACCAATTTTCGTAATTTTCGGTCATGCGGTCAAATTTTTTTTGAACATTATGTTACCCTGCGTTTCTTTTTCCTTTCAGTATACATATTTTTTTTCAAAGTGCGTTAAAAGTCCCCATGACAAATATATTTATGTAATTCTTAAAGCACTTTGAAATATTTTTAATTATACTAAATATTAATATACATGTAATTACTATATTAATATAGCTTAATTTTTTTTTTCAAAGTGTGTTGCCACAATGCAGTATTCATGAAACGTTACTTGGCGAAATTTGAATTAAATTGGATGGTATCTGACTGTTTTTATAAATAATCAACGCGTAAAAACAAATCCAGGAATGGGAACGTCACTAAACGAAATGGAGCACCGGTGCAACTAAAAAATTGTGTGCAGACAGGAAAGTGTCTAATAGAGAATGAAATGCATGAAGATGCTGCTCAGAATTGCCAGTTGGTACAAAGGACAAAGATATCCAAATCATAGTATTTTTATAAGAATAAAAAAATTAACGTTCTTAATGATTTCTTTAATTAATGCCCCAATTATCACGTGGACACTGCGCCTATGGATTATCCGTTGTTTCTATACCTGATTGCTTAAAGAGGCTGGGGGGTCAACAAATTAATCACAAATTAGCCACCGGATTTTAATTAGTGTTTTAGATATGGTATCTTAAACTGTCAACTATCATATGGCAATAAAAAATTTCAAAAATTTTAGTTTTGAAATTTGATCATTTTCTATATCTTTATATGGAGTTCTTCTTTTAAAGGAGATCGAAATAGTCTAAAAATGGCTGCCACCCTCTAGCCTCTTTAACTGCAAAAACATTTATTTTAGGGTCTCACCTAAAAATCCGAAACAACATAAAAATATCAAAAAAAAATTTTTTTACTTTAAGGGGGGACCTATGTCGTTCGACGTCAAAGCAGCGTTATGTGACGTCGCAATAGCGACGTTTATTTTTTTCCCGCTGACTTTGCAACTGTGATTATAGGCATAACATCATTATTAATCAAAAAAGTACACAGTTTACAAAAAGAAAATTTCTTCATCATTTAAAACAGTTTTATTTGATTTATGGAGTTTGTTAATATCAGAACTCTCTTCCTTTGGTTGATAATTCATAGCATTTTCAGTTGTGAAGAAATACCTCTATGATATGCTGATATAAAAATGCAAAAAAATATAAGATAAAATATAGTAAAGACAGCGGCTTAAATTAGGGAAATATGTTTAATTTTATGATTACCATTAATTGTATTTTCTGGATAAAACTAAGAAAAAATTAAGAAATATTACTTGTACCTATATTTACTTATTGATTTATAGTGAATGTAGATTTTATTGTATAAAGTCATTCCTAGGTTCTATTACCAAGGTAGGTGTTGGTTGTTGACGGGGAAGGGGGGGGGGGCAGAATGATTAGAATGAAGAAGAAAAGAGTTTATCTGTTTCAATTATTTCTTATCAAAACAAAATACTTGTTTCTTGCAAAATAGATTTATATTTAGATGTTTGTCAGTGCTAACTTACCCTTTTTTTAGTGCAGAAAGAGTACGAAAATAAAAGAAAACGTCATATTTTTCGTTTATTTTATCATAAAGGTATACTTTTTTTCCTTGTTAAATTAAAGAGAGGGGTCATTTCTTTCAAAAAATATGAATTACAACATTTTCACACAAAGACTTTTTCAGATATTACCTGTTATGTATGTCGGAATTGTAAAAAATACGACAAGAAAAACGGGGTGATACTTACATTGTGCTCCTTTATAATTTTTCATGCGAGATGAATTACAATGAATTTGCCTTCATTTTAAAGATACAAGTCATATAAATTAAATACTTGTTGATTTCGAATGTGATTTGACATTTTTGATTCTTTTTAGCGCATATTTGGAGTAGAACAATAATGTCTGAAAATAATGTAATTTTTAGCATTTCGCACTGTTTTTGCACGTGCTCCTGTGTAAAAATAAGCAAATAAAGGTATTGTTTTTAATAACTAAAGATTAAGATCAAGTGGTTAGGAAAGAAATGTCAAAGTTTTGAAAATTTCACACAAAGACTTTTCGGACATAGGTCCCCCCTTAAATTGAAAAGAAAAGTCTAAAGAAATAAAGGATTTTTATAACTGCGAAAAATTGAACTCCGTTTGTCAAGTCACTTAACGTCAAGTGACTGCTCCATGAATCCTATGACTGCATAGTAAACAAATCGTTGTAAATTTTTAAAATTTTAGTATATCAACCTGATTTTTTCACACAAATAAAACAAAAGATAGGGATATAATCAAACATAGAACATACATGTACTTCACAGTACATAATTATAGATTTTCCATAAATCAAAGTGTACGCGAACTTTTCTAACAACCGTCGTGCGTTAATTATTCCTGATTTTGTTCGTACGCTTACAGACCGCTACCATACATCTGCATTCCTATAAATCGTCATAATATTATCATCATGAAGGATATTGATTACAAAGTTCTCTAATTTATGGATTATTGAAATTTTTATGGCCATGCAAAATTTGTTCAATGTCGGTTGAATGTTTAAAAACTTATAATTAAACATTATCTTCGACTTTTTAAGTCAACCCTCGTAACCTCTCTATATAGGTTAAAACTCTAACAGTGTATCACAATTAAGATTTTGATTTTGGACAAAAGAAAACAAATATCGATATGACCCACGATAGATATAAATTCATATCGAGTTATACCATAGCATTAGATAATCTGGATGAAAACAGTTTTATAAATAGTCACTGAAGGACCAGGAAATTAATGTTATCATGCTAGAAATAGCCAAATTATATGGAGGAAGCAAAAGCATTATCCGTCCTATTCTCGCACTTATAACAACATAAATCAAAGTACACGTATACAACTTTTAAATGCTTAAATGATTGTATGACAACAGTTTTAAACAGTGTTAAATCATCAGTTAATACGATTTTATTCTATACCACTTACATATATTTCACGAATGGACTTTGCCTTGGAAAATTCACACCAATTCTGGTCACAGCAAGCCCGATTTGCAGCACGGAAAAGTAAGTACTAAGGAAATATAGTGGAGAAATTACCAAGTGATATTCTGATAATACGCCTGTTGTGCATATTATATTAACTCTGAACAATCTCCAACACTACAATTGTAAAATAATCTGTTTTGCTAAGTTTGCTACAACTTGATATTCATGAATGTACAAAAACATAGTCAAATGCATAAAACACTCCGTTTGATATTATGTGTGTGTCACTGTAATGCCTACGGATGATAACGTAGAAATGGTATATTGCAACATCATCTCGGCAAAAACAGTGACATTTTTATGTCCCTAAATTTAAGTAAGATTATGTAAACATTTAACCTTATGAGATAGATATGAGACTTATTAATTTCAACATATAAATAATTATATTTATGCCAACCAAGTAATGAATTATATCCAGCTAGAGTCCGAGCTTGTTTTGCGAAAATAAGACACAATACCCATATTGTGTGAAAAGGTCATTTATTCAGAAAAGTACATATCTCATAATATTGAATATTATATAATAGGCATTTAGAAAAATACATCATATGATATGATTGAATAAATGACATAGATTCGCAAAGGTGGGGATAAATATGTTGCCACCTAAGAACAAAAGTATCTAGAGTTTCTGACAGAAAATGTGGGAGGTAAGTGGGCGGGATTTAAATCGTCCTTGCAGTGCGTAGCCTAATTAAGGAATGCCGCAAACGATTCAGACCCCTGGAAAATCTCCGGGCCGACACAGATTCAAAGACCAATTATAAGGTATTCCGAGGTATGCAGATTGCAGAATGATGCAGAGTTAACTGCGGCTAAAATTTACTTGCACTGAGTCATGTTTCATTTCCGGTGTAAAGACCGGAAATAATGAATCCCATCGAATAATGACCGGGGGTCATTTTACAACAGCGAAAAATGACCCCCGGTCATTATTCGACGTAGAAAAATGACCCTTTTGCCCGTAGAAAAAGTGTCACTTCCCTAAAAATTTGCAGAATCCACGTGAAGAAAAATGACTCCCGTAGAAAAATGACCCCCTTTAGATTAAAGCTAAAATTTTTAGGGGGCAAAAAAAAAATTGGATAAAGAAGCATATTGGCCAAAATGCTCACCTGAGCTTATTGGGAATAAACTGATGATATGTTGCTCTGATAACATTATACAATTATAGCTATATTTTAAGGTAAATGCAATGATTCAGAATCTAAAGGAGTAAAAGGTTTATCAAGCCTTAAGGGTTAGGTAAACATTGTTTTTTGATGGTGGAAATCATCGAACTGACAGAAAAAATCAGCAGTATTATATATTATTATATCCTCCGCTTGAAAAGCGGGAGGGTATATAGTGATCGGGATGTCCGTCCGTCTGTCTGTTACGCTTTGAGGTATCCATCTCTTATCCGCAATTCCTCATATATAAAAAGATGTGTTTGTGAAACAGCTATGCCCCTGTATGGCAACATAGCGAAGATTAAACTTTTCTTAAATGCAATTTAAATATATTGTTACCCAAAGTAGGGTCTTCTCACAAGAAATACAACTGCAAAATAGGAAAGCCCTAGCACCACTTGTTCAAAAGTAATGGCTAAGGATAAGTTTTTGAAAGGTAGGTCAAACTCAAAGGTCAAAGTTGATGATTTCTTAAGAAAATATTTAATGTAACAAGGATTACATAGGTGAAGTATGAATTCCCTAGCCTTTACTTTCAAAAGTTATGGCCAAGGTAAAAAAAAATCATAAGTACGGAAAACTCGAAGGTCAAGGTCAAAAAGTCAAGGTTTTAAGTATCCGATGAAAGGTAATGCAAAAAAAACTACATATTTGAAGTATGAGAGTATTAGTATCTACCGTTTAAAAATTATGGCCAAAGTAAAAATTTGGCATTTTTGTGTAAAATGGGACAAACTCCAAAGTAAAGGTCAAAAGGTCAAATTTAGTGAGGTCTTGTCACAAGGAATACACATATTAAATATGAAAGTCATAGCTCCAATAAATGAAAAGTTATGGTAAAGGTTAAGGTTTTTGCGGACAAACAAACCGCCAGATAGACAGACGGACATACAGACGAACACGATAAAACTATATACCCCCGAATCTTCTATTACGGGGACATAAAAAGAAACGGTCTTCAATTAACTTTTCATATTAATATACATTATAAAGAAGACGTTACAACAATGAAAATGTTTGTTCTGATTTTCATATTAAATTCTCTGAAAAATATACTCAGAACTGAGTTAAACAGTTAAAGGGTGGAGTAAAACAAGAATTAAGGTAGAACCTATGTCGGAAAAGTTTTTGTCACAAGATTTTCAAACTTTTCAAAATGATAAATTAGTACTTGCTTATCAATCAGTTAAGATATCGTGATATGTTTCCTTGTTTTTTAATCTAGAACAGGCTGTGAAACTTGGTATGGTATTTACATACTGCGACTGCACATTTTCAAATATTTTTAGGGGTACTTGTCATAAAGGGAATATGAAAAATCACATAAATACTTCTTCAAACATAGTCGTTTATAAACTTTTTTAACTGAATAATATTAAACAATAATTTATCAAGAATAATTTCTTTTTTATTCAATTAACATAAAAGATAAGTCCACCATTAAAAAAAATAGTCAAATGAACTCTATTATTTTTAGTCAATTATTCACCCTATATTTGTAAATATTTTTAGAAGTCTTTGTCACAATGTTTTCAATCTTCAATATGATGAAGAACAGCCAAATGATTACAAAAAATGATTAAAATATATACCTTTCCCCTCAAACTAATGAAAGATAGGCTATATACCGATACTCATATTCTTGACCTTTCTGCACTTACACGTGATTTAATAATTAAATGACTGTTTGGGGTTACTTTCAGATTAAATATTTATCAGAAATTGTACTTGTACTTTAAAAAGATCATATCTAATAGAAAAATTGTAATCTAACACCAAGAATATGAATAGGTAACAAATAATTGTTAAAAGGAATGCACATCATTTCATTATAGATATCACAAAAATGTACACACGATCAAACGATCTACAACACGTACATCTTTGACTTAGACACATTTCATCAAGATATTACACTATATAGCTGGCAACTAAAGATTTCTTACGATTTATGCATTCCTTCAAAATGGTTACATACCATTCAAATTATTACGAAAGTTGTATGTACATTGTAATTTCATTACACTAGATAGTCTTGGGTTTGTCAACTTCAGGTCTAGATCTAGTAAATAAAAGGTGCCTACTTATTTTCTCTTATTCCAGAAATATATTGCCATTAAGCATTTTAAACCAAAAAATATATGAATTGAATTAAGATTATGTTGGCATGATTGAATTCTGTGAATTTCAAAATGCAATATTTTTTACCATTTTTATTGAAGCTGTCAAGTACGGGAAAAAGTGGCATTGAATTAATTATGAAGTTTTAATGGGTTAGCACAGGTTTAACACATTTACCAGTTATGATGTCATACGAAGTAGGTTCTACGTTAAAAGAAATGTAATGAATACTGTGTGCTAAATCAAAAGTTTATGTCTACATGTATAGTTTTTGCATTAGAATGACTGTGTATTTTACACTAGCACATAGCTTTACAGAGCATATTTCTAGGTCTTATACTTACCCCACCCGCTTTCCTATTTAGGAGGAAGTCGATCTTGAACAAAAGCAAAAATAAACCACCCTACCTTTATTTTTCTATAAGAAGGAATTAAAAATAAGCTAAAAATAATCTACAATTCTACTAATTTTTAACTGTTTATACTTTGCCACAATACTTTCAAGTATACCTCCACCAACATTTAAAGTAAATTATGATATGATAGTACTTGTGTGAAGGCTTAACTTCATTTCAATATTTTATCTAGAGCCTCTTTCAGAATTATTGAAAGGTATAGAGTTTTATTTATATTTTTGCTTTTCATTTATTATTCTTTTTTTTTTTTGTTTTGATTTAACGTAATGTTCTTTTTTTAGGGGGGGGGGATAAAAATTTCCTCCTCTTTCATTGTCAAATAGGATTTGCCAAACTTAAAAAAACTGAAAATTGAAATGACGGAAAATTTAATTTTTCCTATTAAAGAGTATTTAAACCTGATTTTTGCATTGTTTGATTTCTAAAAACAAGTGGAATATCATTCTTTAAGCAAACATTATAAGGAGGAATATTAAAAAGAATTTTTATTTACTTGACAATTAAAGAATCTCTTGTCAAACACAATTTTAGCATTGAAAGACTACGTGAATCTCTTAATTATTTCATACGACTTTTTGTATTTTTCTGGTTACAGAAAATGTAAAAATTAGTTTCGCTGTAAAAAAAGATATCAAAGAGTGTATATTATGTATCACTTTAAAGGGGGTCATTTTTCAATGGGGGTCATTATTTTATAGGACTAACATATAAAATAATGACCCCCTAGGACCCTTTTTCTACAAAAAATGATTTTTTTTCTACGGGTGGGGGTCATTTTTTGTCGTTGAAAAATGACCCCCGGTCATTATTCGATGGGGGTCATTATTCGTCTCTACACCGGTAATAGATTACGCGTAATCTCTAGATGCTTGGGTTGAATAACAATATACAAATACAAAATAAAATACTTATATCTAAACTTGTTGTCATAAACTATTTTATTTTCCAATAAAATTAATTTTATATGCAAGTAACTTATCTCTTACGATAAACTTATTTAAATGGAAATATATGTTGTACACGTTATGTTGTAGATCGAGAAAGAAGATGTCAACAAGGTAGTGGACCATGCAATATTTTTATTTTAGATACGTCCTCAAATGTTGGTGAAGAAGGCTTCATACAAATGAAAGAGACATTCTGCACAATAATGAATGGTACGTGTATTCCAACCATTTCAATTTATAAAATCTATAGGCAGTGCTGTTGTGTATAATCACAATTTTAGGATAACAGGGGTATTAGCATCCAGACAATAAATCAAATTATTCATTGATCAGTATACATGTATATATTTCAGAATATGCAAAATTTCCAAAAACCGATGAGAATGTGACAGTTGTGATTTGTGGTAAAACGACAACATTTAAGCATTATTACTCTAATCAGTATACTCGATTGACGCATTGTATCGGTTAGTAGTGTTTTGATTATATTGGTACATGTACTAACATTTTCAGTGTATCGTATTTTTCTGTATTTGAGAACGTTTCAGATAATGTTTCTCAAATACCTCTTCATTTTTAATGAGCAAAATAAAATTTTTAATCTGCAAATTTTTTTCTCGTGGAAAAAATATCACAATTTACCCTTTCCAGTATTTAATTTGAAAAATTGAACACTCATTTAAAATTTATTTTCCAAGTAGAAAATAATACTCATTTATCTGTTTTATTTACTTGAAACTTTGGTAAATGCAAAAGCAAATCTATTATGCCAGCAACAAAAAACTCTTTTTCAGATGATGTAGAATATGGCGGACCCTGTCCACTTACTGCAGCTTTTGTTTTATCAGAGGGGGCAATTTGTAATGGCGCAGGTGTAATCTTTAGTTTTGAGAATTTTTACAAAGTAAAATGTAATCTAGGAGCACTTTTGAAGCTGGAAAAATGGAAAAGTTGAATAAAACGAGTGCTGATTTATTATTTTATTTATTTCAATGCAATAAGAAATTTGCCTATAACGAATAATGGTTAATTTTATAAATTCACTTTTTTATGTGTTAAGGCTATACAAAGGTGATGGGGCATTTTCACCTACATCCACGTCTTATTTTTATTTCTGCTGGGAGACCAACTGATTTCACTGTTATGAATGACGATGAAAGCGTGCCTATTTATGGACCCGCTGAGGTAAAAGAATTTCATCTTGATTTAAATAAGAATGTTATTTCAGTATGAAAGAGCTTTTGAAACTTGTTATCCTTGTATCTACATGTACAAACATTTGTGTGCAATTTAGGATAATTATTGATTGACTGTTTTTTTTTTATTTTTATGACTAAGGAAAGAAAAATTAAAATTATTACAGAAATTTAGGTATTTCATACTCAGGTTAGAAAGCACTGGTATGAAGTAGCGAGGCATATTGGACGATTCAATCCAATCTTTTGTATTCCAGTCGGGAATAATCCAGACATGGTAGGGTAACTTAATCATATTTCATGTTTCTTGCATTAAAAGTAAATTTCAGAGAATCAATGATAAAGGATTCATCACGTGGAGAGGGCTATGCCTGCCGTCCAATCCATTTTTGTATTTACTACAAAATAAAATATTTTCAAATGAAATCAAAAATTCATTTAAGCGAGAAAAAAAAATTGAATGAATTATTCCGAATATAGATTATAGAATTTTTGCTAAGGAAACGAATATGTTTATTACTAGTTTAATTTGATCACCAGATAAATAATGTTTTTTTCTGAAATTGAAAAAAAAATTGATACTCTGATAAGAGAGATAACTCTTAATGACACAAATGTCTATTATTCCTTTCCCTTTTTTTCGAATTTGACAAACTTCAGCCATCGCCAAAGCTGTCATACGCGGGCATCAGTGTTTTATAAACACAACTTGTTTTTAAGAAATACTTTGAGAGTATTGAAAAGGTATGGGTGGTTATGACAATTTTTAAAGTTTTTAGATCATCTCCTTTAGAATAAGAACTCCTCATAAAGATCAAATTTTATAAATAAAATCTATGAATTTTTTCTTTGCCAAATGATAGTTTACAGTTTAGATATCATATCTAACAAACAATAAGTTAAATCTAATGGTTAATTTGTTGATACCTCGCCCTTTTTAAATGTACATCGACTTTTAACAGGAAAACTTAGGATATGTCGCTGCTCATTCAAGAGGAGGAAAGATTGTTTATCCCTTTGAAGTCATACAGTTTGCAAGATTTACAGAAAATATGGTAAAATGAAAAGATAAATAATTAAATGTATGTAGCATATCATCATTTGCCATTTCATTGTCTATGATTTACATTATATCTTATATAGACATGCGGTTTTTTGGTTTTTAAGAAGATAATATCAATTTTAGTTTATAATTTGAATCGAAGTGAAATACAATTATATAGTTACATGTAATTGTTATCTAATAAAACAAAATAATTAAATACAGTATAAGAGTTTTATGGGTTCATTTAATTTGATATTATGAAAAATAGTACATTGGAGATATACTTTGTAAAAATAAGATTAAAAGAAATTGGATGTATTGATTTAAGATAATTTATGTTTTCAGAAAGTTGCTGCAATTTTAACATCTTCAACTTCCTTTGATGGACTAGACAAAGGAACATTTATACATCTGATGTCTCGAGCAATGCCCGGGAGGAAATTCACCGAAAGGGACAAGGTTTTTGTCATTTTAAAAATTTGTTGTTTTTTTTTATATTTCCTTTCTGCAAAAAGGATTTTCTATAGCTGTTTTACTCCATATATCAACTTACTTTTTAAATTGAATGTGCTTAAAAAAGTTTAAAGTAAAATTTACATTAATTTACTGTAGGATGATATTTTCGAAATTTGTTCCATGAAGTCAGTCTTTAAATCAATGGATGAAATCCGAGCAGAACATGACAATAAAATGCGCTCCCGACTTGTTGATTCCGGGATGCCACCTGTAGGAAGTAGAGTTAAAAGAGGTCCAGACTGGAAGTGGAAAAACCAGGATCAAAATGGCCCTGGAACAGTAGTTTCGCATTCTCATGACGGTAAGATGAGTATGTTTTTTCCCGAGAAAATTAGGCAAATGCAAAAAATGGATATAATTAAATCAATATATTAACATACTACTTTAAAGATTTAAAAGGAAATTTACACTAAATGCAATTCGACGTTAGTTAAAAATACATCTTAATGATTAAATAACACATGAAATATCTTAACATGAGAGAAACATGAATGTGTGTTACAAAAGAGAGATATTTTTCTTCCTTCAAAAGTAAAAACCATGTAAATTTAAGAAAATCAAATCATCATTTACTTTATCGGAAAAGATTTATAAAATTGACTTTTTGATGTATATAATTGCATTTTAAGGGTACAAATAGAACATAGAATGTAATGGGAAATTTATGTTACGTTACGGAACGGAGATCAATCCTTTAGAACTGTAGACACTAAAATAAGTTATCAGGGCAAAAAAGTATAGAACTTATGGAATATTGCGTGAAATTTCCCTAGCAAAAATTTTCAATGTATAAAAACTTCACAAGAATTGAAAGGGTAAATAAACAAAAAGTGCAAGGCTTTGAACTTCTTTGGGTAAAACAATTATTGTAAGCAAAAACATCGAACGAATTTATTAAAAAGCAATTAGATATTGAGATAACGAACAGTATTCAAACAATACAAATAATGAGCAGACAGTATATGTACACGGACCTCTTTAACATCAGAGTTGGGATCAGGTGTCACATATGAGAAAGAACCAATATAAACGTGACGTCCAAGAACACAGATGTGGAAGATTTAGGGACGTTGAACGTAGGTCAAATTAATACTTAGTGGGTATATCAGCTATCATCAGTATATTGTATAGCATTTCATTTGATATTTTGACAATAATTATGAAATTCTATAAAAATATCATAACAAGATGTGTTAGTGAAACACTATGCGCCCGGCGGCAATAAAGTTCGAAAAAAGCTATTTTTAACATATAGGTCATGGTCAAGGTCACAAGGTCATTGACTTTGGTGTCATTTGAAATAACTTTATTAGTGAAGTATACATACATCTCCTTTGGTTCAAAAGTTCTGGCAAAAAGTCGAAAAAGCTATTTTTAGCATGTAGGTCACAGTCAAGGTTACAAGGTCAATGACCTTGATGTCATTTGAGAGAAATTTATTAGTGCAGTATGCATACCAGATATGAAGTCTCTATCTTTTATGGTTCGTAAGTTATGGTGAAGGTTAAAGTTGACAACAGACAGAGAGACAAACAGATAAACATACAAACAGATAAACAGAGAAACAGACAGGACAAAAACAATATACGCCCTGGATCTATCGATCCGGGTGCATAAAAAGTGGATAATAAGATTCGATTGAAGGTGTATTTTGTTTTTGTTTTTTTCTGTTATATCTATATACAAGTATATACATTAAAATCGGTTCTTAAATAAGATTGACAATGAACTTTATTCGGTTATAAGCAATATTTGCCCCCATATCAAACTTTGATGGAGATATATTTAATTAAGTTCTTAAACAGGGGAGTATATGCTGACTTCAAAGCACAGAATATTTTCATAAGTAACGACGCCATATGTACGTAATGACGTCACAAACATGACGTAAATTTCAGGTTTTTATGAATTTTACAGAAAAATGTACTTTTCTATCTATTTTGAGTAGAAGTCACCGAGCGCATGTGTGTTCAGGATCAATATTTTGATATAATGTGTAGAATGATAATATCAATGAAATATGTCAATATTGTCCCTGAACAAACTTGCGCTCTATAAATTTTAAAGCTAAAATTGTTGAAATTTTGTCTATTTTGTCCTCTTTCTGAAAAAGGATATAAAATCGGGCTAGTTTGTGACGTCATAAAAACAAAAATTGTGAATACATTGCCTTGGACACTATAATATTTTCTGTTAATTAATATTTCTCATACAATTTATTGAATTCAGCACATTTCAGGAAGTTTTCAAAATTTGACTTTTGTGGAGGCAAATATATGCAATATACCGCATATAGTTCTTTATGCTTGAGAAACTCATATGAAATTTTGTAAAAAGGAACAAAATCACCAATTCCAATAATTATAAGATTTTTGCGAAATAGGGCAATTAAATTTAATGTCTAAAATGAGAAAGCGTCTCCAGCATTCTTATCACTCATTTTTGATTAGGTGAATGGAGAAATCCTTAACCAATCGGTAGTCAACTGAGTGTAAAGAATGGTTCAATCAATTTCTATGAAAAATCCCAATCAGAATAAGACCCATTGATGTACCTGTATATGTTTGCATGTAAGGTCATTATAACCACAATAGAAATTCCTACATGGCTACAGGTTACTTTAAAAGTCGTATTTTGCCTAAAAATTTCAATAGAATTTAGAATCGAATGGAAACAAACCATTACACTCAAAGCGCTTTTAGAACAAAATCATTTAAAAGTTTGGACAGCTCTTCAGATTGGTATGGAATAAATACATTTCTTTCTAGGTCTTTTTATAATGTGTCAAAATAACAGTAAATGCTCTCTTTCAAATAGCTGGATGGTTGATTGTACATTGGGATATTGGCACGTCAGCAAGTTACAGATATGGAACAACTAATATTGAGAAAGATAAATATGATGTTGTTGTTTGCCTTGAACCACGAATACTATACAATGAACTTATTGCTGTTGGATGTTTAGTAAAAAGAGGTACGTTCAAAAGGTACATGTAGTCGTCAATTTAAAATAAGCATAAATTTTAATCAACTTTGCATTAAAATCTTTTATGAGTCTAATGGATAATTCTGCAGTCTACAAATATGTTTTAGGAAATCAGCTTTGATTTTAAGAAAAACAGATCTAAAAATCTTTTCAAATGATGGTGAAGATAAAAATATTAAACTAGTTTGTCATAGAATATACTTCAATATTTCATTTTCAACTTGTTTTACGAGATTTGTTTGGTTAGTAAACAACATGACAACACAAAGATAATTTTCTTTTCTAGAACATGTAGAACAAAGAGCAAATTACAAGATGCATCGGATCGCGTAGTAAAT